CAGTAATTCATTTTTGCTTTTAATTCCCTTGCCTTTGGGGATGCAGACATGCCCGTTCTTACTCCACGTCCAAAACTTTGTGCAGGTCACTGTTGTCTGTCACCTGTACAACAGTCTCCTGTGTGGCCTCCCCACCTCTACTCTTTATTTTTCCAATCCACTGTTCACACAGGAGTAAGAGTGATCTCAAAATGTCACCAGATCATATTACTCCCTTGCTTCAAACCCTTCAATGCATTTAGAATAAAATCCAAACTTTTGACCACAGACTTCAAGCCCCTGCAAAACTTGGCTCCCATCTGGCTTTCCAACCTCATTTCCTATCTCTCCCTTTAAGCTCATCATGCTCCACATGCATAGGTTTTCTTTCTTTTCCTTGAACATGTCCTACTTCTTTCCACCTTGGGGCCTTGGCTCATACTGTTCTCTTGGCCTGGAATGTTCTTCCTTCCACTTTTGGCATGACTAGGTCCTTCTCATCGTTCAGGCCTCAGTTCAAATGTCACCTCCTCAAAGAGTGTCTCCCTAACCCCTCTAGCTAGAAGATGCCTTCTCATTATTCCCTCTTTTTCTTAACTGTTTCTTCACCACAAGTATGATTTTGTCTGCATCCTTGTTTTGTTTTTCTCAGCCACCTTCACTAAAATGTGAGATGCATGAGAGCAGACATGGGTTTGTCTTATTGACCATTGTGTACTTATTGACCACTGTGTCTGTAGCACAATATACATAAAAAGGTCTGTTTATTGAATGAACGGGACAAGTCAATGAGGACATGTCCCTACTCTCAAAGAAATTCCAGTTTCATCGATGGATGCATCTAATTTGAATCTATGGCATATGATCTATACTGTAGGAGAGGTAAACCACTGGTCATTGGAGGGAATCAAATAGAAAAATTGGGAAAGCAATCAGTGAGAAGATAACAGCTGACCTAGAACTGAAAGTAGGATTTAAAAAAAAATTTAATGTTTATTTATTTTTGAGAGATATACAAAGCACAAGCAGGGCAGGGGCAGAGAGAGAGGGAGACACAGAATCTAAAGCAGCTGAGCTGTCAGCACAGAGCCCGATGCGGGGCTTGAACTCACAAACTGTGAGATCATGACCTGAGCCGAAGTCAGACACTTAACTGACTGAGCCACCCAGGTGCCCCTCAAAGTAGGATTTTAGATGGGATTGGTAGAGGTGAGACAAAAGGGCATTCCAGGCTGAGGCAACAGCTTAAGTGGAAATATGGAGGTAAATAAATGCATGAGTGGGAAGGGTGCCAACCTCCTGTGGATGGACATTTATTTCCAAGTTTTTATTGTTATAAACAATGCTTTGTACACATGTCTCTTGCACACTTGTGCTAAATTTTATATAAACCCCTAAAAGTGAAATTTTGGGGGTGAAAGTTACGTGCAAAGGAATGAGAAGGGAGTGAAATAAGGATGTAAAAGATCAAGTGCAGGTAAGAGGCAGGGTAAGAGAGAGGTGGAGGGGTAAGAGTGCGGGTTAAGGGATAGAAGAGAGTGGCAGTGAGGTAAGGGGGTACAAGGCAGGAGTGTGTAAGAAAGAGAGGGTGAGAAAGAGTGGGTAGTTGGAGAGTAAGAAAT